TATTATTATTATTACATGTATCATTATTATTATTATAAACATTATCACTATTTTTAATATTGCCTAGTTTTGCGAAATTTAACGTCAACACTTTTTAGATGCACAATATGCCAAACTATTTCAATTGCAATTCTTTGAATATCTTGATCAGAAAAAGCATTGTTTTTCTGATCTTGTGGTCTCAGTAATAGTACAGAAAGTAAAGCACATAGAGCTTTCTGTTGAGCGGAAATTTGTGATGTACAAATGCTATACTATTTTTATCATGACAGGCGACAAAACCAATGTAATTTTATGTCTAATTAAGAACTTAGAAACGGTCAATAGAATAACGAAAAACGAAACAATCAGTACAGCAGATATGTATTTGTCGATATCACTTAATTTCCCAAGAACATCATTGGCGTAGACGCCAAATACATTATAAATACCGGTACACATGGATGGGGTTGTTTTTGGGGGGGGTTTTTTGTTTTTTTTTCTTTTTCTTATAGTTACCTTGACCAGATCAGCAATTGAAAACGTGTATCTCTAGGAATTGCTTTTGGGATAAAACTTTACCTGTCTGTATTTGTATCGAATTGCAAGAGGCATTAGGCTACCTTAGAATTACAAAGTTCTATCTGCTCACTACCTAGTTTTGAGAAAAGTGACGTAAAAAATTGTTGCGTTTCACAACATGTCGAGCTTTTCCAAATGCAATTCTTTGAATGTCTTAATAACGACTCCAAATAATCTTACGATTTTGATAGAGCAGGTAGAATATTTTAAGACTACAGGGGGGAAATGGCGGGAGTCACAAACTGGAAATCGTGAGGGTACTAATTTTGAACGCGTGCTGGTTCACGATGGGTTGTTGTTGTTTTTGGGGGGGGGGTTTTGTTCAATGTTTGTTGATTATTGTTGTTAGATTTCCCATAAAACACTTAATAATTAACTACAATTCAAACAAATATGAAGTTATGAGTCCATAAGCTTTTAAAATTGACACCCCTCTCAATTTCCAGTTTGTCACTACCGTCGTTTTTCCCCTTTGCTCTTCATCTGCTTTCTGACCTCACGGTCTTAGTAACTCAAAAGGTCAAAAATGTCAGTTAGAACTTCGTAATTCTAAGGTAACAAATTAGTGTTAGAACCTAATAGACTGCTTCTTCAGTAGCTCAGTAAAATGTTGATTTCTCTTGCATTGCTTTCTGTAGAAACTTTAATTCTGAATTTGATGTCCAGAAAACTTGTTGGCTACGAGAAAAGTCACACACACACACACACACACACACA